TTCTGAAGGGGCAGTGCCCTGCTTCACCCAGGGAGACAGGCTACAGAGGCCAACTCGACCCGCAATGAACAGTGCTCCCTTGGCCTCAGCCGGCTCCGCGGGGGTCGAGGTCACTGGGCTTTTCCTGTCCCTGTCCTGTGGGAAGTGATTGTCGGCGGTGTCACCAATGCACCAACACCGCTGGCCTTCGTGTTGCCCGAAGCCACAGAACTCGTCCCCCCGGCTGCCTGCTTCTGGCATTGGGGAGGGCTCCAAACACCCATAGGCTGCCTGCCACCAGGGACGGGATAACAGGATGGGGTGTCATTACCGGGCTGGCTCTGTGGGGATTGAGGGAAAAGGAATGAAAACAGCGTCTCTTCAGCGCGAATGGCTGGACTGGAGGAGGCTGGGAAGTGTTCTGACGTCTCACACTACAGCAAACTGGTGGGAGCAGGTCAGTGCGCGTGAGCAACCCTACAATAACAACCAGAGTGTGCTGATCAGTGCTCGTGAGTGACGCAACAATAACAAACCACCGTGGTGCTGTGCTCACGAGTGACCTTACAATAACAAGTCAGTTCTGGGAGTGGTTGGGATCAGGGGTGGGTGAGGTGACCTGGCAGGGATGGTGCGAGATCTCGAGGCAGATAGTTGAGGGGAGGAGGTGGCCCCAGTGGGCAGGGGCTGAGATCCCAAGGCTGGGGGCAGACGGCTCCAATCCGCACAGGCTGTGCCGTGCACAGTGTTCCAGGAGATCGTGTTCTCGCTAGTCCCTCCCTATTGCTCCGCCTGGGGAGACAACACCCTGCACGTAGGCTCTGTCTCAGCAGCCCGGGATAAACAACGGCAACAGGCCCCAGAAGGGTGGGACGGCTTTCCATGAACCCCAGACCAGTCTGAGCTGCTCCTGACGTTCACCCTGTTCCCTGAGCCGTAAACACAAGGGCACATAAACACGGCCAGCTGCTGTGTGGATAAGGCAGCACGTCTGGTCTGTGCAGCCAGATCCCCCGTCTCGTGAGCCGCCCGAGGGGGCTCTCGAGAGATAAGGCGAGGAGCGAGGCTGGCGCTTTAAAGCTGTGTCCCCTTTAGCTGCGATGAGTTTTGGGCGGTGGGTGTCTCATCTGGATTCCCACTTCCCCAAAACCACCACTACTCTCTGCACTAACTGCCCTCCCTCGCTGGCCGCCTCTCTCTTGGATGGCGCACTGAGCTCCCCTCTTCTCGTGCAAGGGCATAGATGAGTGATACGCGAAGGGAGCGGCTTGCACTACTGCCTGGTGCCCTGTGGAGTAATCGAACGCAGGGAATCCAGCACCTTCTGACTGGAGCACAAACAATTCCCATGTTTCTTTCCAAAGAAAGAAAGGGGGCTCTCTGTTATTTCCTACAGACGGAGGTTGCACTGAATTAACTGAAATCAGTGCAAAACCAATGCAGTTAAACGGGTGCATATTTGTGCCTGGCCATTTCACGCCGTTTAAACGCCGTTCCCTCCGTTTCGTAGATTCTCTTGCTTTCTCTGTCTCTGGGGAGAGGACGAGAGAACAAATACCACGTGAGAGATGTGCGGTCACGTTGCGTAATCCACGCCTGGAAGGAGCTCAGAGACTCCGGCGATGAGCGTGGGCCCAAAGCCTGCGTAGTAATATAGCGTAGTACAGTTTAGATTCATAGACTATCAAACCAGGGGGGACAACTGTAATCATCTAGCCTGCCCTGTATTAACACAGGCCTGCTCTGAATTAATTCCTTTTTGAACTAGAGCATAGCTTTACCTTGCATCTGTAAATGTATCCGGGTGAGCTAAACGGCAACAAGCCAGATTGAAATCGATTCAAGACATCCGTGCACAAGGCTGCATTGGTTTCACTTCAGTGGGTTTAGAATCACACCTACAGGCCTGGTCTATACACACACGTGTGTAGCTAGCTCGGTATAAAGAAAGCGGTACAGTCCTCCGTGGTGTTGGTGTAGTTGTACTAGTTTAAACATGCTTCTAACAGAAGAGCTATGGGGGAAGAGGATTAAGCTATACTGGTATGTTATAGGGCACCTTTATACCAGCAATATTGTGTCCATCAGGGGTTGTACTGGTGTAACGGTCAGTAAAAATCACACCCCTAACTGAGATAGTTAGGCTAGGACAAAAATCTGTGTCTCAACTCCACCAGGCCTTAGTTAAACTGCTACAACTTCGTGTTTATCATTAGACCAGCCCTTAATCCAATGAATTGCAAGCTACCCTGCTTTCCTGCTCCGCTCGCTGCTTGGCTGTGCGTCTCCAGGTGAGGCCAGATCACCCAGCGAATAGCCACAGGTCACCCATGCACAGAGATTCTACCGCTGCCCATTCTCCCTGGACGCCATCCCAACTCCCCCTCTCCGCCACAGCAGGCCAAAGGAAAATTCCATGCCGCTGAAAATCCCAGCTTGGTACCTTGCCCACACCGGCCCCCTCCAGCTGCCGCCTGCCGAGCCCTCAGCCCTTGGCATGGAAAACATTTGAGACTCTTTGCCTTTGACATGGAGCAGCACGAGGAGGGACCACGTTGGATTTAGGGACAGGGCACTGGAAACAGGCATGATCCAAACAGGACGTCACAGAGGAGCCGTGACATCTCACATCCGTGTCAACAAGGGGATGTGAGCTCGTCGGGAGAGAGCCTGGACACTCCCAGCTTTGCCACTGCTTTGCTCTATGACCTTGGGCAAGTCACAGACCCGCTCCGTGCCTCAGTTTCCCCACCTACAAAACAAGGAGGGTGACACTGACCTGGAGGCGTAATGGGCCTAATTCTTTTCTCACCTATGCTGGGGTAAAAGTGGAGTAACTCCATTGACATCAGAGGGGTCACACGGGTGTGAGGCACGTGATGCCAACCTTCTGTTTGTAAAGGGCTTTGAGAACCTCAGACAAAAGGCGCTACTGAAGGGCAAGATAAATATTACCCAAAGCACGGTGCAAGGTTTACCCTGCCCAGGCCTCGTTTTCCATTGCCTCGCTCCTTGGGCAGCTGCCCACCCCAGCGCAAAGTGGGCAGAGGGGGACATTTTCTAACGGGCTTAGGTGACTTAGGTGCCTAAATCCCACTGGCTTTCTCCATGCAATGCTCCTTCTTGTATGGGAATAAACAACACTGTTCTAAGGCAACTTCTTACCACTAGAACGGCTGGCACGCCAGGGGTTATACTGATTTAACTAGCCTGGGGGAGCCGCAGGGGTAGGGCTTGAGTGTAGACAAGACCTGAGAGAGAGAGAGAGAGAGAGCAAAACCAGGGAAGCAAAAGAAATTAAGTTGGAGAAAAAGGAAGAGAGAAAACGAAAAAGGGGAGAGAGGATAAATGGGCAAAATTAACCGCTGGTAAATGGGCCCAGATCCTGTGCTGATGTAAATCAGTGATTGATGTCATTGGTGCCAGCTGAGGTTCTGGGGCAAAGGCAGAGAACCCTACACTCTTTCTGTGCCCCGTGGAAATCTCGCCTCATCCCATTTGTGTCCAGCACCAGCTGTTTTTCCTCAGTGGAATAAGCCCCGGAAAAGGGGCGGTTCCCCTCTTCTGCTCTTCCACACGCCCGGCTGCTTCTTGGAAGTGGCTAAATATAAAAGTTCTTGGAAAGCAGCTGGAAAACAGGGCTGAGAGGACATTCCTGCAGGAGAAAGGCATGCACAGCTCTGTACAGTAAACAGCTCCCGTTTCCCACCCACCTGCCTCCTCTGGCCAGAGCCAACTCCTGCCTGGCCAGAGCTCGCACACACATGACCACTGCAGCCAGACAATCCAGGCTTTGGCGGTCGATCAAGCGCAGGCCCGGCTGCAGGGACTTGTTCTCGGAGAGGGAGACAAACAACCCGGGATGAATTTCACACGCATGCTCGGTCCCACAGCCGAGCCTTGGGGCTGGGAGCCAGATCCAGGAGGGCTTGGGTGGGTCTCAATCGCCCCGCATTTCGCAGTCTTTCCAGCTCAAGCAGATGTACCCGCCCGGAGCCGGGATCCAGCGAGCACAGTAACCACAGCAGTGTAACCACACTGGCACCAATGGCTAGCCGCCGTGAGCCCCTCGGTACGTCGTCCGGCTACACTGAGCTAGCACTGGAAATTACATCCCCCGTCGGAATGCAGACATCCCCAAGCGACAACGATGCGCTCCCAACGCCCGTTCCGGTCCGAGGGAAGACAAGGCCGTTTGCAGCTGTCCCCCCAGTTAGCAGGTCGAGTTAAAGATTACAGGGGAATGTAGGTTTTCCCTCGTCCCGCCAACCACGTGACAACAGCAAACTGCCTCGTCTTCCCGCGCATTTTACCTTGAGTTAGGAACACACCGTTATTCCTAAACCCGGTCTACACTTACAAGTTTTGCCTGCATAGATCAGCTGGTTAGTGTAAAAAATACCCCCCCCCGGAACAACCTAACTGTGCTGGCCAAAGCCCCAGTGTAAACACAGCTGCTTTCGATCGGGGAGTTGGTATAAGCGATACCGGCAAGAGCCGAAGCTGGATCTCCGCTAGGAGGGTTTGCGACTGGAGGGCTACCAGGAACGCTCCACTGTCAAACCTTCGCGAATGGGCTTGTGGAAGAAGCAGACTTTGACTGAGACAATCCCCGTCCTAAAGCGCTCGCAGTCTAGGGCTGGACTACACACAAAACTGTCCCACTGTAGCTATTCTGGGATAGTTAAAGGGGTACAACCCCCCCTTGGTGCCTTACGCCAGTATAGCTTCTCCCCTTTTCGGGATGGTCTGAGCACCTTTATACTGGTATAACTGCATCCACACTCAGGGGGACTGGGCTGCTTGCACGATCCCGTTAAACTAGACTCGTTAAAGCAGCACCCCTTTTGAGTGGAGACACGCCCGTAAAGACAGACAGCCTGAAGGTGCAAGGGGAAACTGAGGCACAGAGAGGGGGTAAGTTGCCCAGGGTCCACAGCACAAGCCGGAATAGGGTTAGGCGTCGTTCAAATCCCACTCAGAAGATCCCACCAGCTCGGACCGCAAAGAACGAGAGGGGCTAGCAACAGACAAATCCTTTTATTCCAACCAACGTGTTTAAAAAGAGACAAGGTTAAAAAGCTGCAACAAGTCGACCAAACTTTGATGCCACCTACCGGCCGAGTACGGACAACAAAGGCTGCTTCTTTAAACATACACAAACACACACACACACACACACACACACTTTCTCTCTCTCTCTCTCTCTGACACAGCTCTGCTCAGAACGCAAAGGAGCAGCCCTGCTTTCGAATTTCTCAACGACAGCTTCGCAGAGAGAAATCAAAATGATTTCCTCCTATCTCTGGCTGCTCTGCTGTTCCAGGGCCCGATCTGAAGCCCAGTGAAATCAGTGGTAACCTTTCAGTTGACTTCAGGGCTTCAGCTCACACTTGGCGAGAGTTTAGTCTCTTGTGTGACTCTGTTTTCTTCAAGATTTAGATTCTGATCTCACACCGGATTGACACCTGATCTCACACCGGATTGACACCTATATGTGGCTTCACTGACTCCTGATTTACGCCGGAATAAGTAAGCTCGGAATTAGGCCCTGTTATTTCTACTATCTGTACTGCATAGTGCCTATGAGCCCTGGAGTCATGGATCAGGTCCCCATGGCGCCAGGTGCTGGACAAACACAGAACAAAGAGATAGGCCCTGCCCCAAAGAGCTTCCAATCTAGGTACATTCGTTGTATGTCATTTCCGTTCCAAACCCATCCCTTTCCCTCCAATTAACCCTGGGATCCAAATTCTGCTTGCTTCAACTCCATGGACTTGCATTGATGGCTCCAAAAGGAGAATTTGGATCTCAGGGCTTTGGGCGCCTCCCACTGCCTGATCCCAGCCCCCAAGCTCCCAGTAAAACCAGTTTCTCTGGCCCAGTTGCAGGAGTGCTGCAGGTGTGGTGGGGAGCAGCCAATATGCTCCCTGGCGAGGGCTTCAGTGTTTGAGGCATTGACCATGGGCTACAGGGTCCTTCAGGAATGACTATCCGAAAACCACCAGCCCACTCTGCGGAATCAGATGCACAGGGAGTGTCATCTGGGAGGGCAGTGAAGGGAACGAGGGTGAACAATGGCTGGTCTGCTGGGATTCAGTCTAAAACTGGAATGCCCACGCACCATACTCACCCACGCACATCCCCGTGCCACACATGCACCAGAGACACACACACACACACCATACACACCCATGCACATCCCCGTGCCACACACACCAGAGCCATGCACATACCATACACACCGACGCACATCCCTCGTGCCACACACGCACCACGGACACACACACACACCATACTCACCCACACATATCCCCGCGCCACACACACACCACGGACACGCACACACCATACACACACACACACACCCATGCACATCCCCCGTGCCCACATGCACATCCTCGTGCCACACAGCATGCACACCCCTGCACATCCCCCGTGCACACATGCACATCCCGCGTGCCACACGCACCACACGCATACACCATACACATACACACCCATCCCCCGTACCACACACACACCCATGCACATCCCCCGTGCCCACATGCACATCCCGTGTGCCACATGCACCACACGCATACACACTCATCCCCCATACCACACACACATACCCATGCACATCCCCCATGCCCACATGCACATCCCCCGTGCCACACACCAGAGACACGCACACACCAAACACATCCATGCACATCCCCCATGCCTACTCACACACATGTCCACATCCACACACATCCCCCGTGCCACATATGCACGACACACGTACACCCATGCACATCCCCCGTCCCACACACATACCAGAGACACAAACCCATGGAGCACACAACATACAATTTACGCAGACATACACATCCCAGCTCCCGCCCCCAACAGACAAACACCCACCCTTACAAACGTGCAAAAGCGCCACATGCAGAAACGCACAAGCAGCACACAACACACAAACATAACAAATTCACACATGTGAGAAGACCACAACAAAACACAACACATGCACAAACACCCCGTATACAAACACCACACACACACAGACACACAATTCTGTGTGCAGAATCTTTCTTTAAAACTCATCCAAATACATTTTGGGGGCACTCACCAGTTTCTTTCAACAGGGGGGTCAAACCAAGGAGTTGCCCCTCCCCCAAACACCCCGCCCCTGCAGCCTGGCTCAGTTCCGGAAGGGGGCGGCTGCAGGGCCTGGGGGTTATAAGCTAGGCAGGATGTGGCGGGGGAAAGTACATTACAACCACCGAGCAGCATAAAATCATCGTGGGGGAGGGAGACGCTCCCTCCTTTATTAACCCACCCGCTCTAAAATATTTTAAAGGGACAGTAAAAACACCCTCATTTATTAAAACTTTGCAGACTGGGGAGATACAAGTCACTGCTAGGCTGATGTGAAGCAGGATGGACCCCATTCTGAGACAAGCCTCAAGAGCATGTCAAGGCACCAGCCCCACATGGGGAACCTCTATAGGGCACCTCCAGGATTGGGGCGGGATCCCTCAAAGTCAGCCGGTGACTCCTCGGGGCGAGGGAAGGCGGGGAAGTAGGTGACTGCCCAGAGTCTGAAATGGGATTAAAATCCTCTGTGAACCCCACCCCCCCAAAGACCCGATTCTTCGTGGCCCTGCATCTAGTGTGGTTGTTTACCCCCGTGCAAAACGCTGGTGCAACCTCCCGCTTCGCACCCCACCAGGCCATTCACAGTGGTGCAAAGCGGCTGGCTGCACGAGGGATCAGGCCCTGGAGAATCAGGCCCAGGACTGGGAAGGGACGTGGGTCTGCAGAACAGTCCCATTCATGTTCCCACTTGTAGCCCTACGCGCCTGTGGTGCAATGAGGTTTCCTATTAAAACCCTGGACTAACCCGGAAATAGACGCCCCCCCCCACTCCGTGTGCCCAGATCAAACAGCTGGACCGGAGATCAGTTCCAGGTCGCAGGGGGAGGCAAGTGGGAGTGAAGCGGCCTGGACGACGGGGAGGTGGGGGTGGGAGCCGCTCACCACTCCCTGCTGGGTTTCAATGCTGGTTTCACCTCCTCCTCCGGGGCAGACGCTGATTAACACAGGACATTACAGTCCCAGGATGGTGTTGTTCTGGTCAGTTTCTCCCACAGCTGAGCTAGGCGGGACCCCCTGGGGTAGCTGGGGGTGGGTGAGTGGGGTGTCCGAAGGCAGAGGATATCTGTCACTCGGTCACGCTGGTTATGTCAGCTGTAGTTCAATTCTCTATCCATCCCGGCAGAATTTTCCATCCGCCTCCAAGCAGCTGCTGGGAAAATGAATCAAGAGCACCACCTAGGGGTGAAGCGAGAGATCTTCCTCTGGAGGGTTCCAAGCTGAGAACCCAGAAGCACCCCCATCTGGCCCACTCAAAGAGGGGTGGAGGCCAGGCAGGAAGCAAAGGGCCACGCCTCAGCGGCTGATCTGAATCCAAGCCTCCCGCTGCGGCGACAGAAATGGTGACCGAGCTGGAGGAAGGATGGGGGTGTCCCCAGCGAGCCCGGACACGGCCGCCCCCTTCCCTGAGGGATCGGCCGTCACCCACGTGGCACACCCGTCCCTGCTGCGGGCAGACGGCTGGGTTCCGCGGCCCCAGGCGTCCGAGCACCGTCCGCGCCAGTCTGGTATCCGTGCAACCCGGCTCCCCTCAGTATATCGCCTCGTCCATGTTGTCATCACTGTCGGCCCCAAACTCCTCCCCATTGTCGAAGTAGGACATGATGTAATCCGTCTCCTAGGGAACCAGCGGGGAAAAGGAGGCTAAGTCTTGGTGAGGGCAAAGGTCAATGGCCCCAGGTGGGCAAGCAATGGCATCTCCCCTGCCCGGAGTGCAGCCGCTGCTGGGTAGGAAGGGGCGGTTGTTTCACAGCGCGCAGCAATGCTGCAGTTTGGGACAGGAAGTGGAAGGGATGGGCACGTCCCATGGAAGCCACGAGGACGGGGAGTCAGGGAGGTAGGATGGAATTTAGCCGATCTGGGCCGAGACACTGCAGTGCAATGCTGGGGAACAGGACCAGCGATTGGCGCATCCGCAGAACAGGCCCTGGCTTCCCCACGCTGCCCCCGTTCCTCACCCTACCCCGGAGGGACCAGTGCTAGGGGCCAACAAACCGTTCGTTCAGCCTCTCTGCCGAGACTGGGGCCAACCGGAACGGTGATGTTTGCAACGGGGACACTTGCAAACTGGCATCAGACCTGCCCAACTCAACCCTCCAGCCAGCTGCTTCCCATGGGAATAAAGGGCCCCGATCCTGCAGTCCCTGGCAAGCCAAAGCTCCCACCACTGAGATCAACGGGTGCAGGATGGGGTCCAGAGACTTGAGTGACAAACAACAGCTCTGCAGGGAGCGCGGCTGGCCGGCCTCTCCGGAGGCGCCTCACCTCTTCGTGTTCCTCCTCGTCATACTCCTCTTCCTCCTCTTCCTTGCCCTCCTCCTCCTCCTCTTTCTCCCCTTCTTCCTCCGACGTCACTTCCTCCTCCTTCTTCTCAAGGGTCTGGGGTTTAATAAGGAACAAAAGCCCAGAGGATGATCAAGCGGCAGCGACGCTCCTGTGCCATTCCCTGCGTCACCGCCCCGGTGTCCTGCTGGCTCCATCCCACCCTGCGGAGCCATCAGCTGCGAGCCTGACACTTCCCACTTCAGCTCCCCGGCGACCCACGCTGTAATGCAGCCACTTCTGGCCAAATACCCACAGCACAGCCAGGCACGCACAGCCATCTGCAACGTGTATCCTGGGGTACTGCGGTGCCTCAGTGAGCAATGGCACGCGCGATGTCCCCGAAGCGGGGCGCTTTGCATAGCTGCCCCTTATGGCTACCTGAAGGGGTGTGCCACAGAATGGGGGTGGGGGGCGGACGGGGCCAGAGGGGTAGTTCAGCAATCCAGGATGGAAATAATACCCTTCTGACGCCCAGCAGTGCCGTGGCGTGGAAGGATTCCCCACCCAGGAAATCAGAGGGAAACCATCGTTACCTCCAGTTTCTTAATGGCTTCCTCCTTGTCCACCGGGAGCCGCTGTTTGTGCTTGGGGATCAGAATGGTGGTTCCTATCCCCGAGGAACAGAGGAGGTCAGAACACAGCCAGACAATGGGGCATTCCTGGGGGACAGCACGCGATGGGCAGTGGGAGAGCTGACTTCATTACCTTCATGCATCACGATAAGCTCCCATTGCTGGGATAAGGGCTTGGCCTGATGCTGGCACACACACCTCGTTAATTATTGGGCTACAGTTCTGGGTTATGTGCTAGGTCACCCTGTTGGATTTTGGCAGGAGGTAGGGCTATTCTGCTGACTCAGGCTAGAAACCAGACCAGGTGGGGCTCATTGCCTCCAATCCTGCGCATGAGAGGACCAGAAGGGAGCTAGGAGGAAGCCAGATAGGAGCTCTTGTGGGAACAGCAAGCACAGGCTAAGGATTATGTTTGTTTTCTTCTGTTAGGAATAAAATGCAGCCCCTATCAAATCTGTGTAGCCAGGCAGATAAGGCACTGGCCAGGCACTCAGGAGCTGTGGTTCTAATCCCTGCTCTGCTGGGTGACCTTGCATTAATCATTATTTTCTTTAATACTCACTCTCCTTCCGGAGCTTTCGAACTCGGATCTTTAGCTCCCGCGGTAAACGCCGCCAATCTGCAAAGACAAGTAAGGAAATCACCAGACTGAGTCAGACTCATGGTTCGTCTACTCCAATTGCCCAGCTCTGAGAGCGGCCAGAACCAGCTACTTCAGAAGGTGCAATAAACCCTCGAGTGGACAATGATGGAATAACAGAAGTTTCTTCCTTCCTACTAGTTAGTGATTGGTTTGTGCCCTGAAGTCTGAGGGTTTATAATCTATGTATCTACGCATCTGCACCTGCACTCATCTATCCATTCCCATATGCATTTCTCTATTTACCTGTCATCATTTGTTCTTATTTATCAATCTATCTAATGGAACTGTGGATGTTCTTAGCCACCTAAATGTCTAAACTTCTTTTAAATCCTCTATGCTTTTTACTCTGGCAATATCCTGTGGCACAGAGTTCCACAGACTACGAAAAAAAAATTTCTTTCACCACTTCTCTATGTGTTGCCTTTCAGTTTGACTGGCTCTCCTGTCCTGCCATATTGTTGTGTCTCTAGTGTTATTATAAAGGTGATAAACCTAGCCGTGTTTTTTGCAATTCTCCACAGCTGTGAATCACAGTCTTCCCGGAATAAAACTCTGAAGAGAGAGGTGAGCAAGGGTTAGACTGTAAAATATTCCCATGCATACCTGGGTTCCAATCAATAGCATTATCAATGGGGCCGGACATCTGATATTTATCTGAGTAGCGCTCAACATCTGAAAAGAAACATACAAACAGGGGTCAAAACTGCAGTTTTATAATAAGCATATAAATGGGCCTGAATTCTCAGGGCATGTCTACACTACCCGCCGGATCGGCGGGCAGCCATCGATCCAGCGGGGGATTGATTTATCGCGTCTAGTCTAGATGCGATAAATCGACCCTCGAGCCCTCTCCCGTCGACTCCTGTACTCCGGCGCTGCGAGAGGCGCCGGCAGAGTTGACGGGGGAGCGGCAGCAGTCGACTCACCGCGGTGAAGACACCACGGTAAGTCCAGCTAAGTTGTGTAACTTAGATCGATCATCCCCTCCCGCCCCAGTGTAGACCAGGGCTTAGTTAAACTCAAACCTTGTCTACACATTTAACTATCCCGGTGTAGTAAAGCCATACAACCCCTGTAGTGTGGACACAGTATAAAATGCTTATACTAGCACAGCTATACCAGAATAAGCTAGCCCAGTGGAAGGCACCTTTATCCTGATAAAACTGCGTCCGCACTAGGAGTTGCACTGGTATAACGATATTGGTAAAAAAATCACACCCCTGACCAACAGAGTTATACCAGTACAAGTTTTAAGCACAGACCAGGTTTCAGCCCCTTTATACCAGTCTGGAAGCGTAAAGGGGCCTTAAAATGGGTATTACTTATATTTAAGGCTGCTTTATGCTTGCTGACTGGTATAATCCTAATAAAAAACCCTATCGGTTATCATCAGTAGGTCCATTTTACATATGGGGAAACTGAGGCACGGGGCCGGGAAGTGAGTTGCCCAAGGTAACCCAGCAGGTCAGTGAAGGAGCTAGGAACAGAACTCAGGTCTCATCTGTCCTAGCTATGTGCACCAGCCACTGCGTCCCACCGCCTCATGGGTAAAAGGACTTTAGCATCACTAAGAATTCAGGCCCAGTGTTTTCATTTGCATTAAGTTGTTTAAAGTCCAGTTAAAATGTTGGTCCTAAATCAACTGGAGCTGCCCCCGGTACCTTTCTTGGGGGCGGCCGGCTTGACATAATATGGCAGATTCTTCATGGCTCCCCTCAGCTCTTGCTTCAGTGCCAGCATGTATTCCACCTCCTCACCCGTCTGCAGAGGGACTGCCTTGTACTCCATGGGCTACAGAAACAGGACGGGAGAGAAGCGAGTATCAACTTCAAAGCTGGGGCTGCCAAGGGTCCAGCATCATGAGAGAAGGGGCCCAGCTGTGAAATCCAGACCTGGATTTCAAACCCCCTAAAGTTGGGGGAGGGAGTTAGGATCCGGGGCTTTGGTTTGAGCCCAGCTCTGACATATAAACATACTGGTGTGTATGTACCTGTGTGTGTGTGTGTGTGTGTGTGTACGTACATATTTGTAAGTCTATGTCCATGTATAGAGATGTATGCATGGGTGTGTGTATGTACATACATATGCATGGGTATCTATGTATAGACGTACACATGTGGGTGCACGTGCGTGTACATACATAGGCGGGGGTGTGAACAGGTACATACATATGGATGGGCGTGTCTGTACACATGCATTGGTGTGTGTGTCTGTATGTGAGTGTCGGCACAGATGCGTGTGTGTTTGCGTATATAGATGCAAGGGGGGTGGGGCTATGGAGATGTTATAGAGTGCATTATGGAGTGCTCTACACCAGTGGTTCTGGGGGCCCCTGGGGGGCTGCGAGCAGGTTTCAGGGGCTCTGCCAAGCAGGGCCGGCATTAGACTGGTTGGGGCCAAAGGCAGAAAGCCAAAGCCCCAGCGCATGGGGCTGAAGCCCGGTGACCCAAGGCCCGCCACCTGAGCAACTTAGCTTCGCAGAGTCCCCCGTGGCGTGGGGCCCTGGGCAACTGCCCTGCTTGCTACCCCCGAACGCTGGCCCTGGCTCTTATATGCAGAAAAACAGTAGTTGTGAGCCGGGCAGTTTGTATAGCATGTTGGGGGGGCGCCTCAGAAGGAAAAAGGTTGAGAACCCCTCATCTACAGCCTGGATTCACTTAAATTCCAGGCTGGCAGCACCCAGAAGCTGCTCCCTCCTGATGGTTGGGGAAGAGCCATGAGTTGGTGGGTCTCGGCTCCCAGAGGACACACTTCCACATCCGCCTTTGGCACCAGTCGACCGCCTCGCTAGCCGGGGGCTGAAAGGCCACGTAGACTCCCCCCAGGTCAAGGGAGGGGCACCGGCAGGGCAGCGTGCGGGGCAGGTTTGTCCCACCACTCTCCCTGCCCCAGTGCTGCCAATCCAGCACCTTTCACCCACGCCATAGTGACTGTGCGTTTAACGGGCCCCCGATGCGACGGACTCACAGGGAAGAGCGGTGAGGGCTGGAGGGTGGATGGGGGCAGCGAGTCGCCTTTCCCAATGCCCACAGCTTCCACGTTGAAGGTCATCTGGCTCCGACCCCTCCCTCTGCCTCCTCTTCCAGCCATGGCTCGCTCTGCGAGAAGAAGTGGACATAGAGCTGGGATCCAACACAGCCGAGACCTGCACAGGGGATGAGAGAGCCTTTTCTGATCCTCGGGAACCTAGAGGATGGCATCTTCCCAAAGCCACGGCCCAGAAAGCCCTGGGCCTGAGCTCCGTGCTAGGAACACCCTGCACGTAATAACATGAGGGCCCCCTCGCTTGGAGGAAGTTAGTTTAATCTCAACACCTCAAAAATCTTCAACTGATTTATTCTCTGCGCCTCCAGAGCAGTGCTTGACCCCAGTTTGGGGACTAACCGATGGAGACACAGACAGCCACGGGGGGAATAAGGCCTTAAACCCAGATCTCCCCCAGCCTAGAATAGTATGCTCGCCCCTGCTGTATGCTCCTTCCAACACTAATAGGGAAACACGCCTTCCATTTTGTCCGGTGTACTCACCCTTCTGCTGCTAGGCCTACAACCCCCTGCAGCCATCCTCTTAATATCTTGCAGCACGTTAAGGGGGTGGGGGGGTTAAACGGTGTCCAACCTGTGCATTAGCCAACCACGCAAGTTGCCCTGATGTGGTACATGTAAGAGAACAAGGGTACGCAACCTGGGACCCGGGGCGCCTGGCTCAGAGCTGAGGGTGGATGGGGCACGAACCAGAGTACGCGGAGCTGGATTCCTACAAGAGCACGTCTGGTACACAGGGCAGGGCTCAGAGCTGAGGGGGCATGACGCTCAGGGAATGGCTCCTAGCGGACAGTGCAAGCCCAATGCTCCAGCGCCTCGGTAACTAACACAGGGCCCAGAGCGTGCGAGACAGGGCTCAGAACTGAGGCTATGAGGCGCAGGGTCGGGGTCCCCTGGTGCACAGTGCACGGTGCAGGACACCCAATGCCCAGGACGCAGGGCTCGGGCGCACCGGGCCAAGGCCAGGCTGGGCTCGATGCTCATTAAGATGCTCCCGGGCCCCTGGGAAGGGGTGTGTCTGGGCGGGGCGCTGCCAGCCGCTCCCCGCCTCCCATTGGGCCGCCGCGGACCGGACCGGACCGGACCGAATCGGCGCTTTACCCGGGCCGCGCAACTGGGTCGAGCTCGCGCCGCCCTCTCCGACGACTCCACGTGGGTTCCGCCCGGAAGCGAATCTGGCTACACAACGTTCCAAAGGGGCGGGGCCCAAAGGCGGCCGCTCAGTGGTGCGCGCCGCGGCCAATCAAAGGACGGAGGAGGGGGCGGGCGTAAGGGGCGGGGCCTGAGACTTTTGCTGGAGGAGAGAGAGAGAGAAAGAGACAAAGAGATAAAGATGGATAAGAAAGAAAGGAGGAGAAGAAAGAAAGAAATGGATGGATGGGAAAAAAGATGGATGGATGGAGGAGAAAAAGAGATAAAGAAAGATGGATAGATGGAGTAGAAAAAGAAAGAAAGATGGATGGATGGATGGGAAAAAAGATGGATAGATGGAGTAGAAAAAGAAAGAAAGAAAGATGGATGGATGGATGGGAAAAAAGATGGATAGATGGAGTAGAAAAAGAAAGAAAGAAAGATGGATGGATGGATGGATGGGAAAAAAATGGATAGATGGAGTAGAAAAAGAAAGAAAGATGGATGGATGGATGGATGGATGGGAAAAAAGATGGATAGATGGAGTAGAAAAAGAAAGAAAGAAAGATGGATGGGAAAAAAGATGGATGGATGGAGGAGAAAAAGAGATAAAGAAAGATGGATAGATGGAGTAGAAAAAGAAAGAAAGATGGATGGATGGATGGGAAAAAAGATGGATAGATGGAGTAGAAAAAGAAAGAAAGAAAGATGGATGGATGGATGGATGGGAAAAAAATGGATAGATGGAGTAGAAAAAGAAAGAAAGATGGATGGATGGATGGATGGATGGGAAAAAAGATGGATAGATGGAGTAGAAAAGAAAGATGGATGGATGGATGGGAAAAAAGATGGATGGATGAATGAGAAGGAGAGAGAAGGGAGAGAGAAGTGTAGGGGTGTGTGGAAGGAGCAGAGGAAGGTAGAGCAGAGCCCTGCACAGTTCAGGAGGGTCTTCAAGCCACCAGCACTCTTTCTGCCCTGCCTTCTTCCCTCACACTGCTCTGCCCTGCTAGCCAGGGGCACAGGAACCCCATGGGGACTGTGTAGGATTACATGTGCATGGGGAGAGGGTTAGGGTGGATGGAGGGACCTGCCATGTGCTGGGCTGGGACTGATTCCCTATTGGCCGGGGGTTTAAGTTACTACTGTCCTTGTTAAACCTGCCCTGGAGGTTGGGCCTCTAGAACTGGGGTTCCCTGAGTGGCAGGTTTGACAGCATGGGCTGACCTGGAGCCATCTCTCTAGGCATTTCTACCCTAACAGCTGAGCATGCAAAGCTCCCTGGGTAGCCTAGATCCTCAACTCTGCCTCACTGCTACTGCCCAGACAGCTAGAGCTGACTCCAAGGGCATCGGTGCCAAGGCTGATGACCTCCGACAGTAAAACAAAGGACTTCAGAGCTAAGACAGCTACTGCCCCCGTCCACTGGGACAAATAACTATTAATGACATGGGGCCTTGCAAAACTGCCAACGACACAGGTCGTCAGAACTAGAGAGATACCAGTGTGTGGAGCCCCCATGGGAGATCTCCCATCCAAGCATTAGCTTGTAGGACCTGAGATGCATCTCTTCCATTGCTTTCCCTTGCTCCCCTCTTCTGCCTTTCCTGAAGTTGCCTCTCCAATAGGAACAAAACCATCCATTTCCTGACAATACAGAGCTCTATACAGGATTTTCCACCCTACTCTATCTCGGAGCCAGATCTGCTCCAAGTTACACAGATATAAATAGCAAAGAACTGGCTGCTTTCAGGAACAGCTCTTCTGTACTCCTTGTTCTAAAATGAAATTTCGTTCTCCCTCTTCCTCTGATTAGTCAGCACCTTGCTGTTTTGCTTCTGCATGCAAACGAGGCCCTCACAATAAACAGGCCACGGATCTTCCTGACATTTAAAGAAAGATTTTGAGGCTGGTAGAGGAAGGCTGGAGCAATGGTTAGGAGGCTGGCCTCCCACTTAAGAGACCTGCATTCAGTTCTGGCCTTTATGCCAGTCATTTAGCCGCTATGTGCCTCAGTTTCCCCATCTGCACAATGGGGATAACAGCGCTGCCCTGCCTCACATGCAGGGTTGCGAGGATAAATGTGTCAAAGGTTGTGAGATGTGCTGATATTACGATGATTGGCGTGGGATAAATACCTCAGATCGAGGAGTTTAGTGCAACACCATCAGGCTGGATCTGTTTTCTAATAGGAGATTAGTGCTTTCGTATGGCTGCTGTAGGTTTAAATCCCGCTCAGGCTGCAGGCTGGGATGAGATCGTGTGGGTGTCTAGCTGACCTGTTGGGGATGTTTAGCCACATAACACAAATCAACTGTCTCTGCTCAAGTGGGGCTTGGCACTCAGATATATCCGAACTGGGAAAGTGCTCCCAAATCAGGAGAAAGAGGTTGGGGAGGAGGCCTAGGGCTGGGAGAGCAGGGGGCCGCAGGTTGGGATTGAGAAATGCTGTGGGGCGGGGATCCCAGGGCAGGGCTGGACTACGGGGGTGGGGGGGATGTTGCGGGTCAGGATTGAGGTGCATTGGCAGAGCCGGTGGGGGAGGGAGCCAAGGCTGAATTAATATGGGGGTTGGGATTGAGGGGCATGAGCAGAGCTCGGAGGAGGGGGGCTGACACTAAACTGGATTAGGACGGAGTCTGCAGGTCAGGATTGAAGTGCATTGGCATCTGGGGGACTGGGAAGCCAGGGATGGATTAGCCAGGGAGGCGTGGGTCAGGATTGAGGGGTATCAGCAGGGCTCCCCCCCTTGGCTTGCTAGTTGCAGACATACACTGTCCCCCCCCCGGAGACAGCTCTCTCAGCTGCAGCTTCTGTCCCCAGGCGGGGGTGGGGGGTGGTAAATGTCAGACCCAACAGGGAAGTTGCTAGGGTGAGCAAATCATCTCTCGCTGTGGCCTCCTCACGCCAAGCGCAAGGCGCTTTGGCTGCCACCGCTAAAGGTTTCACGGCATGAAGGAAGGGGACTCCATGCTGGAGCGGGGGGCTCCCCCCCCCCGCCATGGATCGCTGCTCTGAAAAGCGCACCAACAAGCCCCTTGCAGCTAAGGCAGGTGGCGCGTAGAGCAGGGTAACTGCAGGGACCACAGCTGCTTGGCTAAAGCTTTCACACCTCCCTCCCCATGATCCAGATCTCCCTTCCCCTGGACCAGGGCTGCTCCGTCCTTTATACGGGTCCTGAGAAGCAGAGGCGGGGGCCTGTGTGGGGAGCCCCGTCCAGCTAAACTGACTTGGGGTCTGTGAGCTGAGACTCTCCTGATGCTCTATGTGTCTGTGTGTACAGATGTGTGCTTGTGTGATCTGTCAGCCTTGCCTAGACTACAGGGGTGTCATTTGTTATGGGGCAGGCCCTTTGACCTTGTCCCCCTCCCCCTGACTTTTCATAGGTTCATATGCTCCATTGTGTCCTTCACTTTTTGCTCACCCCCCTACTCCCAACATTGCAGGTTATCATATAATCACATATTCATTGATTACAAGACCACTTTGATCATCTCGTCTGACCCTCCCATAGAGCACGGGCCAGAGACCTGCCCCGAAATAACTCCCAGAGCAGAGTTTTTTTAGAAAACCCTCCAATCTTAATATAATATCCTAGAGGCTGTCACAATGCCCCTCTCCCCAGTGCCTATGCCAGACTAGAGCATGAAATCAGGGCTTCCCGACTCCAGCCATGTAGCTCGATTCCAGCCCACACAACAGCGTTGGCCTACAGTCTATTCGCACACACACTCGTGCGAGAGTGTGTGTGTGTCTGGAATAGTATATTAAGATTGGAGGGGTTTCTAAAAGCTCTGCCCTAGGATCAAATTTTCACAAGAGCTCAGCTCCCATTTGGACACCGAATTAAGTGGCCGGATTTTCCGAAGCGCGGGAACCTGCCCCGGGGAGAGGCTGCTGGGTGCTGATTCCTCTGGAGGACCCAGGCCCCGGGTGCGTGTACCTCTTTGAAAGATCCCAGTCGCGCCGCTCTTTGTAGCAGGACGAAGCACCCTGCTACCTCTGACGCCAGCCCCCCACCCGGAGGATGCTTTCTGCCGAGCGGCTCCTTGGCTGCGCTGCAGATGGGGTGACTCATCTCCCTCTCCCCTCCACCCCGATTCCAACAGGGCGGCCGAAAATAGCAACGAGGGGGGAGGGGGGAACCCAAAATAACTGCCAGCACCTGGCTGGTGCCGGGATGAGAAGCAAAGAGAAGATGCGCTTGGCTCCTACCTCCTGCTCTCAGGGAGCCGGGATTCTAGTCTCAATCCGCAGCAGAAGCGGGGCTCTGGAAGCAGGCCCAGCTGTGAAGTTGCCTTGGCAACCAAGATAGATGGGGGGAGGAAGGGAAAGAGAAAGAAAGAAAGAAAGAAAGAAAGAAAGAAAGAAAGAAAGAAAGAAAGAAAGAAAGAAAGAAAGAAAGAAAGAAAGCGACCAACGTCTAGAAAGAGAGTCCCCTTCCCCCGGCCAGCTGTCCCAGTTTCATAGTTCATTTCCTCTCTATGGTCCTAGAATAAATCATTCCTCTCTCCACCTGGCTGAATGTCGGCTGTGAAAGGGGCCCAAGGGACTTAGGAACCTCGCCACCATTGAATTTCACTGGCAGGCCGGCACCTGGATCCCTTTGCAAATAGCCATGGAAGAGCTCCGGGGGAGGGGGAGGGCGGAGCTGCAGGGTTCGGATCCTGGGAAGGCCTCACAAAAATCAATTTAATATACAGTCCTCAAATAAAGGACATGTCAGATATTCAACTGATAAGAACAGATATTAGTTTAGGAGATAATGTTTGTGCTTCAGGGTCCAAGAGACACAGACAAGGTTTTCATCTCGGGGCCAAAAGACCAAACACATCAAGACACTTTAATAGGCCAAGAGACTACTTACACTTGATCTTAGCTCTCACGGCGAGCAGGCACCCGGCCAGACTCCGCAGTCCCCCATGCTGCTCTCACTCCGGCACGGTGCCATCCG